TATGCTATGCCTCGTGGATAAGTTGAGGGTAAAACTTAGGGCTATGAAATTCTGTGATTTTTATAATTATATACACACACACTCATACAAACACACACTCTGTGTGTATATAATGCAGTGTGTGTGTGTGTGTGTGTGTGTTAGTGTGTGTAGTGTGTGTGAACTGGGTGGGGAGAGGGCATTATTTTTAATTTGAATATTTTTTAATTTAATTATTATTTTAATATTTTTTTTTAGTCCCCCCTCCCTGCTTGTTAACTGGTCGGGGAGGGGGGCTAGCTTAATCCCTGGTGGTCCAGTGGATGGGCGGTGCAGGGGGAGCCCAGAGCAAGCTGTTACTTACCTTTGTAGCAGCTCCGGTCAGCTCCCTTCACCTCCATGCAGCTCCCGGTAACCCGTTGCAACGCTCTGACGGCAGCAGGTGTTGCGAGACTTACTGGGAGCTGCACGGAGCTGCTACAAAGGTAAGTAACAGCTTGCTGCCAGCCCCCAACAGGACCGCCGGGCTTGTAATGAGGTCTGTATTATGGCAATGTAAGTTGCCATAATACAGACAGTGACTCGAGTATAAGTCGAGTGGGGCTTTTTCAGCACAAAAAATGTGCTGAAAAACTCTACTTATACTCGAGTATATACGGTAAATACCGTAACCTCCATTTGTTTAAATATGCATAGGGATTTGGGAAGAGAGCAGGTAATTTTTTTTCTTTGGTCCCTGCCAAAGTGTTGGAGTGTTAAATTGCATTTCATAAAAGGAGTATAGATAACACCTAGAGTGAATGCAAAGATTTACAGAAACATTGTTTAGAAGAGAAGTACGTAGATTGGAAGAGGTGCCCACAATCTGGATGTTACTGAGAATTGAGGAAAGGTTCAGAATAAGTCTTCAGTAACTGTATGGCTAAAAATCTAATAGGCAAAGTAACCAATTATTATTATTATTATTATTAAAAGACTGCATTTGGAGGAAGGATGCCAAGGTGTAGAGATTCAAATTAAGGTAGATAGAGAAGCTGGGCACACTGCAATATGGCATTTCTGCAATAAAGTTGATATGGTGCGGAAAGAGTTTATTTATAAATAGGTTGTCTATTATTGCAAAAAGAATTTGGTACCTCCCTACTGCATGCCCTGTAGTCAAGCAGGAAGTTGAAAGAATAGGAGACAAAGGGCAAGTATCAATAACATGAGCAATACAACAAAACAAAACCTTTAAAATATTGAAACTCAATCATAGCTGCTCCTTATTACTGTAATTACTCTATTGCCCCCTCAAAAGAAAATAAAAAAATAGTTATACGTAGATATACCCTAAATTAAAACATGCATGCATTTCATTATGCATTTTTTTTTTTCATTGGGGGTTTATCTAAAAACAGCTTGTAAAAACCTGCTGTCATATTGTATCCAGCCTTCTTACCTTACCCAGACTTTCTGTTGCTGTCCAATCACAGACTTCCCAATGCTCTGGACAATTTACTGCCTCTTGAGTTTACCTTTACTGAGCTAGCCAAACTTCGAAGTAACACGACCTGTTGTATGCATGAAAGACAGGGGGTGTGATCAGGTTCATTTATAAAGGTCAAAAATACGTGACACTTTTCACACATAAAGCTTTAAAGCAAGCTTCAGGGGTCTGGAGCGTCCTCTTAATTTAGCAATTAAAATTCTCCTATTATTATTATTGTAATTTGTATAGCACCAGCAAAGTCCGTAGCGCTTTACAATAGTATAGGGGGGGAGATTTAACAATAAATGAGACCATTACAAAACGTATGGGAACAATATGATGAAGAGGACCCTGCTCAAACGAGCATATAGTCTAGAGGAGGTGGGGTATAAAACACAGTTGGACAGGAGATAGCAATCAAACAAGGTGGGAGTGAGGTAGGAGGAGATAGAGTGCTGCCCTTTAGGAGAGCGCAAAGGACAGATATGGGAGGTGGAGATTACTCTGGGAGGCCATAAGCTTTCCTGAAGAGATGAGTTTTAAGGCATTTTTTAAACGATTGAAGACTGGAGGAGTGTCTAATTATGGTAGGTAGGCTATTCCAAAGGAAGGGAGCAGCCCGCGAGAAGTCCTGCAAGCGTCAGTTGGCCTTACGGGTGCGAGCAGCGAACAGGAGAAGGTCATGGACAGAGTGGAGAGACTGAGAAGGGGCATACTTATGGATCAGTGAAGAGATGTATGATGGGCTAGAATTGTTCAGTGCTTTATAGGTGTGGATTAGTACTTTGAATTGACTCCTATAGGATACAGGAAGCTAATGTAAGGACTGACATAGGGGTGAGGTGTGAAAGGAGTGACTGGAGAGGAAAATCAGTCTGGCGGCAGCATTCATTACAGCCAGTAGCGGAGAAATGCAGCTTCTGGGAAGACCAATTAGGAGAGGGTTACAATAATCCATGCGATTACTAGAGATTACTAGAGCATGGACAAGCTTCTTAGTAGTATCTTGCGTAAGAAATGGGCAGATATAAGCAATATTTTTGAAGTTGAAATCGACAGGATTTGGTGTGACACCGGATGTGAAGCTTAAAGGTGAGGCCAGAGAAAATATAACGCCAAGACAGCTCGCTTGCAAGGATGGGCTGATGTACACCCTGTTCCAAATTATTATGCAAATGATATTTTTCTCATTTACCTAAATAATTGATGTAAATAAGTCAGCATAATTCTCATGTTATCAACTATTAAGAGTACAATTCAAATTTTATTGAACAAACCTAATAACAGTATTTTTTACAAAACACTGTTCCAAATTATTACGCACAGTAAGTTTCAAAACACTTTATACTTTGTAAAGAACTGAAAATTGTCATTTGTTGTGTTTGCAGCATATTTACTGAAATCAAAAGCTATTTCAATCAAACTTATAACAACATTTTAACGTTTTAAACATTTTACCAGGTCACGCTACATTTTAACATAGGACCCATTGTTTGATAGCAGCTTCACAAGTCTTGCATCCATTGAACTGAGTTTTTGGACAGTTTCTGCTTGAATTTGTTTGCAAGATGTCAGAATAGCCTCCCAGAGCTGCTGTTTGGATGTAAACTGCCTCCCACCTTCATAGATCTTTTGCTTGAGGATGCTCCAAAGGTTCTCAATAGGATTGAGGTCAGGGGAGGATGGAGGCCACACCATGACTTTCTCTCCTTTTATCCCCATAGCAGCCATTGATGCAGAGGTATTCTTTGCAGCATGAGATGGTGCATTGTCATGCATGAAGATGATGTTATTACGGAAAGCATAGTTCTTCCTTCTGTACCAGGGAAGAAAGTGGTCATTCAGAAACTCCACATACTTTGCAGAGGTCATCTTTGCACCTTTGGGGACCCTGAAGGGGCCGACCAGCTCTCTTCCCATGATTCCGGCCCAAAGCATGACTTCACCACCGCCCTGCTCACGTCGCAGCCTTGTTGAAACAGAGTGGCCATCCACCAACCATCCACTACTCCATCCATCTGGACCATCCAGGGTTGCACGGCATTCATCAGTGAACAGGACTGTTTGAAAATTAGTCTTCATGTATTTTTCTGCCCAATGCAGCAGTTTCTGCTTGTGAGCATTGGTTAGTGGTGGCCGAATAGAAGGTTTATGCACAGTTGCAAGACTCTACACCTTGATGTCCGTGGGACTCCAGAGGCACCAGCAGCTTCAAATATCTGTTTGCTGTTATGAAATGGTATTTTAGCAGCTGCTCTCTTGATCCGATGCATGGATCTGGCAGAAATCTTCCTCAATGTGCCTTTATCTGCACAAACCAGTCTGTGCTCTGAATCAGCCACAAATCTCTTAATAGTGCGATGATCTCACTTAAGTTTTTGTGAAATATCTTATGTTTTCATACCTTGTCCAAGGCATTGAACTATTTCACTCTTTTTGGCAGCAGAGAGATCCTTTTTCTTCCCCGGATTGCATGAAAATGGTGCTCTGCTTAATAATGTGGAACACCCTCCTTTAGTAGTCTTTCCTTAAATTGGGCTCACCTGGCAATCTAATTATCACAGGTGTCCGAGATTGTTTTCAGTGATCAAAAGAGCCCCGAGACACAATACCATCCATGAGTTAAACTGAAAAACAAAACATTTAATCTTTGTGACACTTAAATAGAATTTGCATAATAATTTTGAACAGGGTGTATGTACCACTAACTTGAAAGTAGAGGGAAAGAGGAAGGAAAGAAAAGGAGCTCAGTTTGAGAGATTGAGTTTCAGAAAGCGGGGGACATCCAGTCAGAGATGGAAGAAAGGCAATTGGTGACACGTTATAAGACAGCAGGGGAGGGGTCAGGGGAGAAGAGCTATATCTGGGTGTCATCAGTGTACAGATGGTAGCAAAATCCAAACAAATTAATGAGTTTGCCAAGAGAGGCAGTATAGCGAGAGAACAAAAGTGGACCAAGAACTGAGCCTTGCTGGACTCCCACAGGATGAGGGAAGTAGGTGTCATTGGAAAAGGAGACACTGAATTAACTTTGGAAGAGGTAGGAGGAGAACCATGAGAGAGCTGTGTCACAGAGACCAAGAGATTAGGATTAAGAGTTTGGAGAAGAAGGCTATGATCAGTATCAAAGTCAGCAGAGCGGTCGATAAGAATAAGTATGGAGTAGTGGCCTTTGGATTTATCCACGATTAGATTATTTGTAATTTTAATCAGAGTGGTCTCTGTGTAGTGGAGTGTATGGGGCAGAATCCAGACTGAAGAGGGTCGAGGAGAGAGTTAGAATAGAGAGAGCGGAGGGCGGAGCCTGACCTCGCGCGAGTATGGCAGCTTAAACCCTGAGCTCTGCCGAGGCCTAGCCCGAATCTTCAGCAATCAGCAGCACCTGAGCCCCATTACCCCCTTAAAACCCCTCTATCATCCAACTGCAATCACCCCCTCCATGGGCGGGGGTAAGAAAACCCGGCAATCCTCAGTTGCTCCAATTTTCCGGCGAACGCACAAGGCCCAGCCGCCCGCGCCGGAGTTATCCCCGTCGGACACGGACTCCGAAATGAGCACCCAAGCCCACGCAGACGGACCAGAGGCCCCTCTTACCCGCAGGGACATGAGAGGCTTCCTGGCAGACTTTCGCAGCTCGGTGGCAGAAGAGCTGGACAAACGCCTCAACCCTATTCTGGAGAACATGGCGGACCTTACCGCCCGCACGCAGGCAGTGGAGGACAACATGGCGGAGGTGCAAAACAGCGTGCACACACACGAGGGGGCATTGCAAGACCTCCGTGACCAGCTGCGTGCCCTGGAGGATGCAAATGAGGACCTCAGCAACAGAACCCGCCGCAATAATATTAGAGTGAGGGGAATCCCAGAGACAGTCACGGCGGAGTTACTCTCAGACACCCTGCAAAATGTCTTTACCCGGCTTCTACCAGAGGCCACAGCAGCTGAGCTCCTTATGGATCGAGCGCACAGAGCACTGAGAGCTCCGTCTGCAGCAACCACCGGTTCTAGGGACGTCATAGTGCGGATGCACTTCTACCACATCAAGGAGCAACTGATGAGAGCGGCCAGGGAGACCCCCCTGGAGGTGGAGGGAGTGCCGATCCAATTCTATCAGGATCTGGCACCAGCCACCCTCAGGAGAAGGCGAGATCTTCGGCCACTAACACAGCATCTCACGCAGCATGGCCTCCGGTATGCCTGGGGCCACCCTTTTAAGCTTATCGTCCGGAGGGACAACAAATTTCTCACCTTAACCAGGCCAGACGAATCCGCAGTCCTCCTTGACCAACTGGGTCTCCCTCCGCTACCAGAACCATCTCGCAGCATGCAGGCCCCTTCCACCCTACAGGACGCCGCCAGCAGCAAGACAACTGGTGACCGTGACCGCCGACATCAGCAAGCAGGGCATCGGCGGTCACGGGCCTCGCATACGTAGAGCACGGACGACGGCACCCTCCGCTCACGACCTCCACGAAGCTGGGAAGCACCACGACCACAGACACCGCGGCAGGACTGCAGCTTGGGTGGCTAGCCGGCACGCACGTCCCCCCAGTCCTCCGTCCGGACAACGATCTCTAGCGACCCCGTGCCGGCAACCCTGCACACCGACAGAGAGCACCTGGACTGCCCCCATCGATGGCCGCACCGTGCACCCACCCACAGAACTGGCGTGCCCCCTCCGGCCGAGACCAAGGGCACCCTGAAGCCTCGGCCCCTCACAGGTACCGGGACGGGGGGGGCTGCCCACTGAAAGACTCGCAGGGCTACGCTCCAAGGCAGGCACAGAGGGGCGCCCGGGATCAGCATTTTACGGCCCTCTGGGCCAAGCACGGGGGGGGGGGCAGGTAATGGACTATGAACACTGGTCTTGTGGGGGGGGGGATAGGGATGGGAGGGGGGAGGGCGACGGGCTGCCACGGGGTGACTAGTGGGGGACCGCTGTCCCATAGGACCCATGACGGACGGACAGCTTAGGTTTGTGAGGAACTCCTACAAGACCCAAGATGACCAGGGGGTTTTGATTTCCTTTTTTTTTTTTTTTCTCCCTCTCTCTCTCTCTCCTTCCAACGGGTGGCACTGCAGGGCGTCGGAACTGGGGACCAAACCACGGGGGTGGCCACCTGGGGGGCTGGAGGACCGCTGATCTCGAGCACTGCTGTAGGTCCTCAGACGAGACACATGGAGAGGGTGGGGCTATGAGATCGGTAATGGGCGGATCCTGGAGGGCTGATGCGACTCCCCTCGCCCCTGAAAAAACATGGACCAACCCAATCCCCCGGACTGGTAATAAGGCCAGGCCACTGTCTTAGTCAAGTCCCTTTAATTTCACAGCGCTTCACGATGCCTGAACCACCACGACCACTGACCTAGAGACGCTTATATACAAGGGGGCCCGGACAAAGGATGACTCACGGACCTGACAGGCACTCTGCGACAGATGGGGGAGTTCATAGGCTCCGCACAGATGTACCCCCTTCGCTGCCAATGAATGTGACTATAACCCACGTAGGAGGCTTCGTACTAGATGGAGGCAGTGACATCGTCACATCCACCCTTCTCATCTGCATCTCCACGACCTAGACTCACGTTAGCGGAGGGACGCCACGTTTTCTCTAACCGGTCTGCACAACCGTAGAATAGCTTAGTTTCCGTTTTGCTGCACGTTAGAATTTCACAGAGTTTACAACGGCCATAGGGCTGAACCTGATAGAACACAACTAGAGACTTCACGCCAGATACGCAAGGGGACTAAAACCCCCACTACGGGGGCGTCCCAGAACCCAGGTCCCCTGACACAGAGACCTGTTCCCTTTTCCCACCCCTCGACCCTACCCGAGGCTCAGACAGTATAGCTTGTCGTCGGGCAGCCCTGGGCAGGCTGCGCCACGACTTGCAAACACCCTCAGTGACTCACTCTTCCCCTGCGGGACCGCTGCACGGACACCCGAACAGGGGAAGGTGTTCCCCTCCCGACTGGTAACTGGCCAACTCGATAAGTCCAGTTTACCCCCACATCTCCCCAGGGACCCGCCGCCAGGAACTGTTGCGGCCGTGCCGGCCGAGTTACCCCGGGAGACCCCCCATCCTTCAGGAGGTCACCATACCCACACAAGGCAGGTGGGCGACCGACACAAGCGGTCGCTACTAACCCGCTTTCCCCCAGAGGGCAGAAGCACGACACTACATCCCAACCCCTTACACTTGCCATTGCGGGCGACAGTGCCACAATGGCAGCGCCGAATCTCCAGTTACGCCTGACTTCCCTAAACATCAAAGGCCTGAACACGCCAGGCAAAAGACATGGAATGATGAGATGGGCCAACCGAACCGGTTCAGAAATCATTCTTCTCCAAGAAACCCACTTCACGAACAAACGACACTTCCCACTAGTCAACAGACATTTCAAACGCTTTTTCCTAGCCAACTCCCCCACACCAAAGTCGAAGGGAGTAGCCATCCTCCTTCGAAATTCATGCCCCCTGACGGATATACAAACCATAAAAGACCCTGGGGGACGGTTTCTATTCCTCATGGGTCGGGTGGGAACCACCACATTGGCCATCTGCTCAATATATGCTCCTAACGCCCCGGACGCCGGATTCTGGGACTCCCTGCGGGCCCACGTCGCCAGCCTACCAACCAAACACGTCATATTTGGAGGCGACTTCAACGCAACTCAATCTCCTGCTGCAGACCGCAAGACACCGCTAGATCGGACACCGACGGCAACGAGAAACGACAAACTCTATGCGGCATTCCTCAAGAACACAGCGCTCATAGACGTCTGGAGGGCGCACCACCCGGCGGACAGGAACTACACCTTCTACTCGCACTCGCATGGGTCCTACTCCAGGATTGATAGCTTCCTCACGACACAGACCATTCAACCCTGGACGGAACAGTCGTCCATTGGTAATATAGTATGGTCTGATCATGCCGAGATATCTTTAACCATCCGCGTCCCACGCCTGTCTCGCGAATGGAGGTGGCGCCTCAATCCGTGGATCCTCAGAGACAAGGCCATCATCCACATCGTGAATGAGGAAATCAAAACATACTTTGAACTCAATACCTCGGCAGAGGTGACCCCGGCGACGGTGTGGGCAGCCCATAAAGCTGTGATCCGCGGGAAACTCATAGCATTAGCATTTACAAAAGCGACAGCGCCTAAGAGATCTCACCTCAGCGCTGGCGGATTTGGCGATGCTGGAATCACGCCACAAGCAGACCCAAGCAGAACACCTCCTACCCCAAATTAGGGATATTCGGGAAAGGATAGCACAACTGTCCAACACCGATGTGGCCAAGCACCTTATGTGGACGAAACAGAGGTTCTATGAGAAAGGCAATAAAGCCGACTCACTTCTGGCACATTGTCTAAGGAAACGTCAAGAAGCCAAGAGGATTTCGAAGATACAGACCCGCTCGGGAGAAATTACCCATGACCCGGAACAAATAGCGATGGAATTCGTGCACTACTATACCAATCTCTATAACCATGACCCGCTCTCTCAAGCGAATCAATCGGAACGGCAGGACGCCATCACGCGGTTCCTGGATCCCCTTGGCCTGCCAGCCCTTTCATTGAGGGCCAAAGAGGTGCTAGAAGCCCCTGTCGATGCTAGGGAACTCGGACTTATTCTCAAGTCTCTCAAACCCCTAAAGAGTCCAGGTCCAGATGGCTTCACAACTCTATACTACAAAACGTTCCAAGAGACACTCATCCCACACTTCTGCAACATGTTTAACTCGCTCCTACAAGGACAAGTGCTCCCCCCAGACATGCTGGGAGCCGACGTGTGCCTCCTGCCCAAACCGGGCAAGGAACTTCTGGAACCGGGACACTACCGCCCTATCTCGCTCCTCAATACTGACTTAAAAATTATTACGAAAGTGCTAGCCAATCGTCTCAACGCTTTCCTGCCAAAACTGATTCACCCTGACCAGGTTGGCTTCATTCCCAAGAGACAGGCAGCCGATAACACGAGGAGGGCCTACAATACTATCTGGTACGCCCAACACCGGAACATCCCGGCGGTTGCGCTCTCCTTGGATGCAGAGAAGGCTTTTGATCGCCTTCTCTGGCCCTACCTGTTCAGGGTGCTGAGCCATCAGGGGTTCCCGGACGGGTTCCTAAACGTACTCACTGCCTTGTACGACCACCCTACTGGACGACTCCTGCTGCCGAACACCGCGACACAGACGTTCCCCATCGCGAACGGGACTAGACAGGGCTGTCCCCTCTCTCCCCTCCTGTTCGCGATCTCCTTGGAACCACTCCTACAGGCAATCCGTCTACACCCGGGAATCCGGGGTGTCCAAATACGTGGGGAGTCGTACACGGCAGCGGCATACGCGGACGACGTACTCCTCACACTGACGGACCCCATGCAATCCCTCCAGGCAACGCTAGCCCTAATTGCAGAATATTCCACCCTCTCGGGATATAAAATCAATCTGTCAAAATCCATCGTGATGCCGATAGCGATGACTCCAACCCAAATCGCCCCTCTGAAACGAATATTCCCCTTCCGCATCACCACCACCTCCCTCACATACTTGGGCGTCCAATTAACTACGAATCTGGAAGCCTTTTACAACGTCAACTACACGCCCTTACTAAAGACAGCGCATCAAGATCTGCGAAGATGAGACAAACTGGGCATATCTTGGTTGGGCAGAGTGGCCACAATTAAAATGACTCTTCTACCGAGGTTTCTCTACCTCTTTCAAACTTTACCAATCCCACTACAGCGACAGGACTTCAAGCGTTTACAGACGGCAATTGATAGATTCATCTGGAAGTCCCGGAGACCCAGAATTCGCAGATCCACGATGTATGTCCCCAGGCTCACGGGAGGACTGGGGCTCCCTAACCTGATGCAATATTACCTCGCAGCACAACTAGCCCACATCCAGCAATGGCACCTGCCACCAGGAACCAAATGATGGGTGGACCTGGAACATGATGTCATGGGCTGGGACCTCCCGTCGTCCTATATGTGGGTACCACTGAAATACAGACCCCTCCCACTGCCCACCTCTCCAGCAATCACGCACGCTTTGGCCCTTTGGGACAAACATTACGCTAGGTATGACCTTTCTTCCTTCCTCTCACCGGTGACACCGATCTATCGGAATAAATTGTTCCCACCGGGTATGGTAGCTAAACACTTCGCTGCATTTGACCAGAGAGACATCTCTAGACTCTTACACCTTTACCGACAGGGGGACATAGTCAAATTCTCAGAAATACCGGATGCAGACGCTCTAACCACGGGTGATTTCTTCCGCTATATCCAACTGCGAGACTTCGCACAACAGCCAATGATCAAGCAGGCGGGGGTCTCTTCACCAACAATGTTCGAAAAGCAGTGCTTTGATGCACCGCTCCGCCGCGGCCAGATCTCAGATATATACACAACGCTTACCACG